TGACTGGATCAAAATTTTCAGATTTAGCCTATGGTTAGAACAATTTTGAAAAGGACTACCAAAGCTTGAAAAAGCGAAATGGTTAATTTTTATGCCCCACCTAGGGGCATTATGTTTTTCGGTCTGTGTGTCCGTTTGTCCGTCTGTCCCGCTTCAGGCTTTAAAGTTTTTGGTCAAGGTAGTTTTTGATGAAGTTGAAGTCCAATCAACTTGAAACTTAGTACACATGTTCCCTATGATATGATCTTTCTAATTTTAATGCCAAATTAGAGCTTTACCCCAATTTCACGGTCCACTGAACATAGAAAATGATAGTGTGAGTGGGGCATCCGTTTACTATGGACACATTCTTGTTTATATTGGGTCAATTGAATCGGATCCCATTTTAGTCAGGTTTTATTAAATGACTCCCTGAAGCTGTTCAACATTGCAGTGTTAACTTTAACTGTCAGCTTAAATTTAAGCTCAGATTTTCCAGCAAATGACCTGGTGATATACAGTTAAATATATTGTAAAAAACTTGCCTAAAAATTATCGTGCTTATAAACATTTAGCTTGGTTTGAACCTTTGTATAAAATACATCTGCTCACAAATACGACAGGGTAATCACTCGTTTGTCCTTTATATGTAGAAGTCTGAGGTTTGACTGTGCAACAAAAGAATGTATAAGTAATCATCAATTATAAAAATATAAGAATTTATGAGAAACAAAAATTATTATGAAACCTAAAAACATATCATTATTATTATTAAAAAGTTATGATAAAACATCTATATACAATTCCCTTATCATCTATTCTTTGCTTGTAAATAATTTTTTTCTGTCTGATAGGGCCAACTCTTTAGTTTAATTGGATATATACTTAATTCTGTAACACTTCATAATTAAAAAGTCAAAAGATATAATTTGTGCACAACAACTGCATAGAAAACATTGCAACAAATTTGTTGCCTAAGAAAACTTATGAGGACATACTTTATTCGTGTCTTTGAAGTTTATTTGAAACTAAACCTTGTAAAATAATTAACAACAAACAGCAAAGGGTGTAAAAATTTCCATCATTTTCCAACCTTTCCCAAATTATACTTAGAATTAAAGAGTGATCAAGTTTGTCAGTGCATTCCTCTTTAACTGTCTGCTGTGCATCAAAGGACTACAGTATCTTTAACATTGATTTCAAGCTGCGTATCGAAATAAGTGCACCTTATTTCTATGTTTAATTTATCGGTAAGAAAAGAATTATAACAGGATAATTTTGAATTAAAGGTAAACATATTACACTATGATTACATGACAGATGACGAGCAACTTCCAGTATTAGTTAAGGTATAATGACTTTTAAGTTCATGCCTTTTGTGGAGTTTGGAGGTGGAATATTAAGGACTTTTAAATTTTTCTAATGAACTTGGTATGCTTTGACTCATTTTGGGAGAAAATAAAATAAACTTCGTGATCTTCAGCTTTTATCGAAGTTCAGAGTAGACTGCATAATGTATAACAGACTCTGCAAAATTTGAAAAAGAAAATGAAAAATTTAAACATTAGTCAAATGGTCCTACAAACTTTACAGAACAATTCTTGAAATGCAGTCACAATGTCTCCCAGAACAAATGGTCACTGACTTTCACATTGGTGATAAATTGTACAAATGTACTGTGCAATTACAAGAGAAAAATGGTGTGGTTGAAAATGACTAAAAGATAACCAACCATTTTTGTCTGTTACAACCAATGACATTAAACTTTTGATGGTCAATCCAGGATTACAAAAACAAAAAGATTTTAACAGGCCTTTGAAGTTTTTAGGCAGTGCTCAACTTTTATATTTTGTTATCAAAGGCAATGATTGTGTTACCTCTTGAATTTGAATACATGCACATTTTTTAATTTTACTCATGACTGTGTATCCATAATTTCCTCCTGCATGTAAGGATGTACTGCTGTTATGTACTTTTAACAATCTGTATTAGATTTGCATGTGATTAACAGATTGCAATGAGACACTATGACATAATCATACATCTTCCCTCAGAGCTCCATATTACCTGCACGATTACAAAATTTTCATTAACAAAAAAAAGATTTATTGTGAAAATATCAATTTTATATGCCAGTGGTATTTCCATATCCCTGATGAATTCTTAGATAAAAAGAAATAAAATACTGTTACAAAAGACCAAAAATATAATATCCTTTTTATTGTTGGATATTCCAAATATATGTTATCTCATTTGGCATTCATACATATTGTATTGCTGTATTATTTTAAAGATTTCCTTGTCAATGTCAGATTCAAATGAAGCGGGATTCCCATATGCTTTTGATGCTGCTACTTGAAATTCGGATTTTCCCTTTTTCCAGTCTGACCTTTACTCTCTGTTCATTGAAATAGTTTTCTTGTTGATTTTAGACCCTTGGATATATCATTCTCATCAGATAGGTAGATTTAAGGATGTTACAAAAGAATTTCTTTCAATAAATGATCATATATCTTAACCGTTAGCTATGTATTGATCAACATTAATATTTAGTAACTCCCTGTCCTGAGATAACATTCTCCGAAACCCAGCTGACATCCAACCAATTTGTCATCTTAATGCTGAATTTACAATGGCCTTTATGTTGACGGATCCCAGGTAATGAACAAGTTTATGATTTTTTTTCCATGCTGTATAGTTTTAAAGCAATGGTTGGTATTTCGGAATCTTGCCAGACAATACATTTGTCAATGTTTAGTTTTGGATCACCATAATCAGAGTCAAAGGACATCATTTATTTTGTACACTAAGTTCTAGTGACAGTGTTATTAAATATTAAAGTGACATCTTAGAAATAAGCAGAATTCTTTTTTAAATGAATAACCAAGGCACTTTTACATTTAATGAATTTCAAGGTTGTTTTTATAAAATTCAGAATCTCTTTCAGGTGCTGGAATGTACATAAAATTTCTTAGCTGTGTAGAATCAAAAATCAAAATTTTAAATCAATCAGGCTTCACATTTTTGTCGAGCCTGTGACTATTGTTGCAGAAAGTTCGACATAGGGATAGTGATCCGGTGGCAGCGTTAACTAACTTCTTAAAAGCTTAATATTTCAGAAGGTAGAAGACCTGGATGCTTCATACTTTGTATATAGATGCCTTATGATATGAAGTTTCCGTCTGTCATATGTCCATTGTCCTTGACCTCATTTTAATGGTTCAGTGGTCATAGTTAAGTTTTTGTGTTTTGGTCTGTTTTTCTGATACTGTATGCAATAGGTCAACTTTATTTGGTGTATGGAAATATTTTATGATGTTCATGTCAGTCTGTCAGGTTTTATTTGACCTTGACCTCATTTTCACGGTTCATTGCCCAATGTTAAGTTTTTGTGTTTTGGTCTGTTTTTTCTAATACTGTATGCAAAAGGTCAACTATATTTGGTGTATGGAAATATTTTATGATGTACATGGCAGGTTGATTTCACCTTGACCTCATTTTCATGGTTCATTGCTTATGTTAAGTTTTTGTGTTTTGGTCTGTTTTTCTTAAAACTTTAAGCAATAGGTCAGCTATATTTGGGGTATGGAATGATTGTAAGGTGTATATGTCTGTCTGGCAGGCATCATTTGACCTTCACCTCATTTTCATGATTGATTGGTCAATGTTCAGTTTTCCTGGTTAACTTTGTTTCTTAGAAATTTTAAGCAAAAGTTCAACTATATTTGATGCATGGAATGATTTTAAGTTGTACATGTCTGTCTGGCAGGGTTCATCTGACCTTGACTTCATTTTCATGGTTCATTGGTCAGTATAGAATTTCCATGGTTTGGTCTGTTTCTTTTATACTATAAGCAATAGGTCATCTATATTCTGTGTATGGAATGATTGTTTTAAAGGTGTACATGTATTTCTGGCTTGGTTTATCTGACCTTGACCTCATTTTCTTTGATCATAAATGTTAATGTGATACTTGTAGTAAAACTTTATATGTAGGACTATCAACATAAAATCAGTGGTCAGTAAAGTAGGCGAGACATTTCAGCGTGTGCACTCTTGTTTATATAGATATCAGATTATTTTTTTATTTAATTTTCTACAGATTCCTTGTATTGTTGAATTTTAAGCGAATTGAATTGTAGATTTTATTTGCTGACATTTTAAGAAAATTTATTGAATCTTTTGCCAAAGGACCTACATAAAAATTTGCTTAGATACATAAATAAATCATAAGATCTATCCTTGACATATACCCTAATTTGCATACATCCCCTAGTGATGCTCTTAATCCTACAATTATAGGTCTGTTACCCTATTAATCATTTTGATGACCACTTTACTGTTCCAATATTCAGCAATGGACTTTACAAATTTTATTACATTGTGTTTGAGGTATCCATTTAAACCAATCCCTGATTTTGGTCATTTTTGGGTTATTTGATCGCATCATAATTGGTTTTGCAAAATGATGACCTTTTCAATCTTTTAATTTATTTAGATGGCATTTTGATTTTCATCCGTTATTGAAAGGGGTGTTGAACTTTTTAAGTATAGCGTCTGAATTTTTTACCTTGTTGAGGAGACCAGGATAGGATGTTATAACACTAGATTCCCGCTGTTCTAAGATCCGGTGACTTATACCGCTCATCATGATACCGAGCTGTAATTATGAACTGACATGGCAAAAAGTAGACCTACTAAATGGCTTATAAAATCAAGTCTTGTAATCCAGTTTGGTCTACATTTGTGACATGCCCCTATGTGGAATTCTTCTTCAAGATTTAATCCTTTTATTATATATAGTAACAGAAAATAAATAAACAAGTATCTTTCTGAAATGCAACAATGCCCTTAACATACATTATTTAATTTAAAAGGTTTTCCCTTTTTTTTTTTGTAAGATTTAGAAGTAAGTCAAATTGAAATTAGGTCAATATGTCCTTATTATGTAAAATACATGCATTGTTTTTCGGTTATCTATATTGCGTTTTACAGTTAATACTTTATCACTCTATTTTCAGATTGTCTAAAGGAGGGTCAAGCTGTTAAGTTGATAATGGAACTTTCAGATGCAGGTAATAATATTTAATTTAAATTTCTGTAGTAGGAAACTTTGTCAATTATATATATATATATATATATAAGGTTATTAAAATGAACTTGGTTTGAGAAATTTAACTAAAGAATCAAAGCAAAAAAACAGATTACAGGTTAAGGTCATATGGTAATTATTTAACTCCAAATCAGGTTAATGCAGGTAAATTTTTTTTTTAGAGAGATTAGATGCTGGAGGCACTTTTAATTCTCAAATTGCCCCCCTATATCCCAATTATAGTTTTTTTTTGGGGGAGGAGGGTGCAATTTGAGAATTAAAAGTGCCCCTAACATTACCATACTTTTCATTACACAAGAAAATGAATCCTTTTCTGTCAACACCAGCAGTGACAAGATCCTATTTTTAACCTTTCAGATTAAAATACCTTCATTTTTTTCTTTTAATCATATGATATAAATAGACATAAGAGTATCAGTTAATCTGAAGAGATGTCAATAGCATGGTATAAAACTAACAAATTTATAGAAATATAGGTAGATTTGATGTGAAATAAATGGTTGTCATGAACATGCCACATGTTAACTGTGTCTAAGCCCGGAAGTCTGCAGTACTGAGATACTTTTGTGATCAATGACTTTCTAGTAGGTTGTATACATGTAATCTATTTGTACTTGAAAAGTTTATTGGGAAAATGGTATTATGTTGTACAATAGAAGTATGTTATACAATAGAAGTGATTCTCCCTTAAATGATATTGACATTTTATTTTGTTTTGATATCAAAGCTATATTTGTTTTGCGTAACAAGAAATACAATGCTGATATAGGCAAAAGTCTATTATTAGGGGAAAAAATTGTTTTCTAGTATTAGAAGGAAGTAAAGGTTCTTCCTGGGTTTTTTTCTTTCTTATGGAAACGTTTCATTTAGGTCCACAATCAACATAAAACTTTATAAAAATGTGTTAGGATACCTTAGTTCTATTTAAAGTTGATGTTAACTGCATTCTTGTAAATGCATCATATTGGAATTAAAATTTCTGATAAAAGGGTTTGAAGAGGGTCGAAGAAAAATCGTTCAATAAAAAATGCAAAAAGGTACAAAATTATCTATTTTTGTTATGCCGAAGAACTGTTAGAAGGTTTGGTAGAACAAAAATGTGGGAAATAATATCTATCTTATTGAATTCAGATACAGGGTATCTGCTTTTATATTAAAGGAATGGATTGGTACCCCCTCCTACCCCTCCCTGACTTCCCAAACCAAGCCCCAAAAAAAGATAAGTATATATGGTTGAGAGAAATGTATACCAGATATGTTCTGTCATGTATGTTTCCTATCTACATAACAACACTTCTTTACACAGATATCAGGCTTATATTTTGTAGATCGAATTTAAGAGGTGAAAACATCTATTTTTTTTTTTCAATTGTTGCATAACATAAACTCGTCAATTAAGTACCCATCGTAATTAGATCATCGTAATTAGATCATCGTATGTAACACTGCACCAGTTTTATCCCCATTTTATGTCTGACCTCTTGGTGCATTGCAGAACAATTAAGAGAAACTTTATATACCCTATAAATTGCATGTCACTAATGTAATGTGTTTCGGTTCTATAACCCCTGAACATTATGTCAAATTTTACGTGACATTATCAAGTCTATCAGGAAATTAGTAGAGAAGTGGAGGTCTTATATAGGTCACTCTTTAGGATCGCAAATTATTTTTGTAGAGAGTAAACTTACCTTTAAAGCAAATTAGACTATAAATAATGATAAAATAACTGAAGGCCTTTGTCCCTAGTATAATAACAGTAGATGGTTGTTGTCAAGCGAATTTTACTTAATAACGCATCAATTAAGATAAAAGATTATTGGTCTAAAATAGTAACTTTTCATGTTGTGATACTTAGGAAGTGAAGTAGAAAGGTTATCTGCTAATGAAATACACATGAAGTTTGTTAAGTGTCAGCTGTGTAAAGGTTAAGGGTAGGCTGGTGAAGTCAGGGTCCACCCTTATATCAAAATTCATGATTTTTACTTTCTACGGCTCCCAGCCGTCTGAGTCTGCACTGTTCAATATTACAGCATACACATTAACATCATTTTTAAGGGTATTCAAGGTAGGAATTATTGATAGATTAGAATGTGATACAAATTGACATTAAAAAAACATCAGACTTCTCTAAATAAATGAGTTACTTGCCATCTTATCACAATAGCCGGCATAAATTTTTGCAATGCAAAACTGTATTCTTTTTTGTGTAGGCCTTGGAACTTACGTGCATATATTTTCAAAGTCAGAAAGAAAACGTTTTCCATATATGTCTCTGGCTCTATTTTATGAATTGATTGAACATAAATCCAAAGATTTTAGGAGGATTCGGTATGGATTATTAGTTTTAGAATCGGTCAAAATAGAAGACATTCATTCCCTTCAACACTGGTCCTTGATAATCTTTTTATAAACTCTATGAATTCCAGGTACTGTAATTCACACAGAAGAGTACATGAGCATTTTATTCAAACCTCTGTTTAGTATAAAGGTTTTATGGTTGAAAATAATTGAAAAAAGGCTTTTCCATGACAAAAAAAAAATGCCATTCAAACATTTATACCAAGTACATTAAGATATCATATATATATTGCAAACTCATTTTCACTGTATTCTATACAAAGTTTAATTATAGGCTTTGGCATAAATGGTTGCGGTCCTTCACCATTCATTAATGATTTAATTCAAATGCTGTGGATTCATTATTTTATGTGGGATACCAATTTTTTTTTAGGATTTCTTGGATATATGTTAACCATATTAACGAAATTAACTGTTTAACAAAGGTAAAATTTTTCTATAGGCTTGTATGCAGACTTTGATGAAATCTAATATCCATTTTATCTTGGTCCAGGAAAATTGTTACCCATGAAAATAAATTAAATGATTATTTTGTTAGATAATTCTAGTCTTGTCCTTGACTTGCTACTACACATTTACCCACCATTTCCTGGAATAGTTTTCTTGATATTAAATGTTTACCTGGTTAATGCAGGTTTTGATCTGCTTTAACATGATTGGAGTTTTTTTCTGATTTAAATACTGATATCAAATGTCTATTGTTTTATCTTCTGGTTTATCAATTGTTAACAGACATTTTAATATGAATGTACTTAGTAGATGGTCAGATATTCTTATACATAGAAGGTTGATATCTGATAGTGGTAGTAAAAATTATAAGTTGTTTTAACCTTGTAGTTAAGTTGGGTTCATTTTTTGGTTTTATTTGATATAGAACTTAGAAAGAAGGGTTTCTGTCAAGCACATAGTATGAGTATAACTACAATGTATTAGTGTTTGACATATATATCATGCAATATAACATTTATGGATACAAGTATTTGTTCAGATTCAACCTATAGATATTTAAAACTTCTTTTGGGGGGGAATTTCAACGTTCAAATAGAAGTGAATAGACCTTTATCATATATGTTTCTGTGTAAAGTCGCAGATATTTTATTTGGGATAACTTAAGCAGGCTTATTTTATTAAATGTAAGATTTTTGCTCTGATAGTTATTTTCACATAATGTCAAATTTCTTACAACAAACAGACAACTGACATGTGTGTATAGAAGTGAAAAAGATTTATAATAATTTGATATGACAAATTCATGTACTCTTCATTTTACATGTATGTTTTTCTTTCCTCAACTCTATGTTAAATGTTGGTGAAAAGGGAAAATGTCAGGTGCCAATTTAATTTAATTTTGACAATTTAGAATTGATGTGGTATTTAAATGTTGATATAAACATTGAAGTTTATCATCTTTATGATAACCTTAACAGCACGACTAGGTGTGCAGATTGTGTACAAGGGCTGTGTTATGTTTAATGATGCATTCTGCTGGTACATAAGTGACCCCCATACCTGTTGACCTACATGCAGGTGTTCACATTGGAGGTTCTCCAAAGGAAAAATTTATAGCTTTTTTTTTCTTAATTGTGCCAATAACCTCATAACTGAGATTGAACTTTTCTGTTTTATGATAATTCAACAGTAAATAATTGCATAATATCTTATAAAATGATTCAATGAGTCAGAAAGGATCATTCAACCCATTTGATGTAAATATTCTATTTTTAAAGGAGTTTTACAAGAAAAGAATTCTATTAAAGTACTTTACCTTTCTTCTATTGAGAAATGGGGTATGAAGGATGTTTATCGCATCATGGGTGTTTTAGACTATGATACAGGTATACAAATACTTTTTTGCATAAATAACTTATTTGAACTGCTCCAAATTAAAGTTGTAGAATAGGTTCAAATAATGTGACCTACATTTAAAAGATGCTCCAGAAATGTATTGAATACATATTCCTGAATCAGTTGTCAATATTATTGTATATTAGAACATGCTTAAACTTTTTAAATGGCAAAAATTTTACTCAGTTTATACTTTAGAATTGGATGCTTCTCTTTATGATTTTATTGTAAAAGCGTTGACAAAGCACATTTTTTATGAAGCGCAGAAGGGCTTCATATTAAAAATGTGCACACAATCAACGCTTTTACAACCCTATAAAATTATGAAAAGAAGATTTCAATTCTTATAATTACATTTTTATGCTACGACCATGAAATTTAAAGTTATATCAAGATTTTCATTTGTTTTTCAATGCACTATTTTAACATTGTCAGGAATAGCACGTGCAGTCATAGCTGTTATATTTCCTAGTAAAATAAAATATGATATCGGGTTTGTTGATAGCCAATCAAAACTATGGATTCCAATGAAACATACATTTAATGTAATTATATGGTTATGAAGTTTTTAAAAATAAATACTCTGCTGATGGCACATGGCAAGAACATTTAAGGTATGCCAAGCTAAACAAGCAAGTAACTGGCCCTCTCTGCCTAGAAATTGAAGTGTTATGTGTTATTAGTGTTTTTTATATTGTCTAGAATTAAAAAAAAATTCCAACACCCAATAATTGCTATTGTATAGGTGTATTCTGCATAGCTGTACTATTACCAGTTTTAGATTGCAGGCAGATATTAACTTTTTATGTGTAGACTGAAACCTATATATCAATCCAAATTTGAAATACCGGAGTCTAAGTACCTGCATGGTAAAAAAAATAAAAATCTATTTTAAAAAAAATAAAATATCCTGATACAATCCCCTACTGTATTGAAAAAATCATAAATTTTTAGAAGGGATACATAACAAGCAAGGTTAATATTTGATTAGCCTTAGAGCATATGATATCGCTCTATCTTGGCAGATACATTACAATTAAAGTTAATTTCATGCTCAAATATATCTTTGAGTGTTGTAAATATTTAAAAGTAAATAGGATCATCAAAGATTCTAGAGGGGATAATAAAATCATATTTTCAGTATTGATGGGCTGTAATCTTCTCTCTTTACAACTTTTGTATTGTTATATTACTATCACAAGGACATGCCATTAAAAATATCTAGACACATTTAAATAAAGGTGCAAAAGTCTTAAGTATTGAAACATAGCATAAAATCACCAGGGCCAAGTATTTTCCTTGTTGTTTTTAAGTCTGTATTTCTTGTGATTGCCAATCAATATACTCACCACAAAAACAAATCATATTGGAAATGTAAATGTATTTCATTCAGCAATATTCAAATGAAGGCAATATGTATTGCCTCCCATTTGTCCTAAGACACCATATTTTAATAATGTCTTAAAATCTAATTTTATAATTTTACATACGGAGAAATGAGTGTATAAATAGCAGTCATTTGCAGTTTTGTAAATTTGACTTAAATTTTATGAGTGATTGCTTCAGATTAGCATATGGTTTTAGTTTTGAGGCACTCACTCACTGAAGTTGTAACATTTTGTTTGTTGGTAGTGATCTTTGATAAAAGTGTAGGTCTGTACAATGACCTATATTTTATGCAAAGCCAACATAGTTTTCAATAAGATAAGATAAGATCTAAAATGAGCATGACAGTCAAGTGGATCACATTGACCTAAAATAAAGTCTTAATGCATATGAAAAATTGTCTTGCATTAGAGTACTTATTCTGCATTAGTTAACATATTTCTTGGGTCATTTCAAGTGCTTAGATTTTCATTAAAATGTCATTTAATGTCATATATATATTCTTGTAGATATCTGGTATAAGCTGTTAAAAACAGCTTCTCACTGGTCATCAGGAGTCGAAACGCATATATTTGTATGGAACAAAGTTTGGGATCACAGGAAAATTTCTACTCATCTGAAATTTCAAGACAAAGAGAGTTAACTTTACAATGGTGTATTACAGCCTATTTACAGGTCAGTATCAAGGACACATAACATCATTTATTAGAATTATGATCAATTAATTTTCAGTTTGTCTCATGGTTGTCTACAGAGAAACGTGTATGTCTTGCCTATGATAGTAGAGTGGCATTATGTTGTCTGGTCTGGTCTGTACAATTGTATGTCCCCTATCAAGTGAAAGTTTGGTTTACGGTAGTTCTAAGATTTGGTTTAAGGTTGTATGTGGTCATTTTCAGCTGTGTTTTTCTGACCGGAATCTGGTTATTGATTTGGGGTTGTATGGAGGGTTGGCGACCAGGCGGCTCCACTTGTTTTCATGCAATAACTTTGGAACCATTCAACCAATTTTAATATACTGTTACTGAAGACAAATGAAGGTCTATTTGGATATTGAGGAAGTTTTTAACTTTTGATGTTAAGTGTTATGGTCCTTGATTGATTGAAAAATAGCACTTTATATCATTGCTGTGCAATTGCCAATGAACCCTAGAACCAATAGGTTTCAAATTTACCAAGTTGTTCCTGGAGACAAAATGGAGGTCTAGTCCAATATCGACAATTTTCCCTTTTGCTTTTCTGGAGTTGTCATTTCTTCATTGATGTTTTTTTTAAGTGCATTTTTTAAAATCTACATCTGCTACAATAAGCTTTTATGTATTTTTTGTCTCCCTACAAAAATTGTCATGGAAGTAAGGCATGCTCTATCTTAAGTTGTATTAACAGTTTTTTTAAGTTTCTGATAGGGATACACTGGCTGAGAGAATCACAATGTTGACAGTTTATTTGATATGGGTAGAAAATCTAAAATTTTAAGCTTTTGTACCCTTTGATGTCTTACTTTATTTCCATATATAACTGGATTTTTTTTTATTATTAGTGGTATATATTAACCCATCTTTGACATTTATAGGATCAGTGTGTCCTTTAGAAGTACACTTTAGTCAAACTCATTTTATATACAGTACATGTATACTGATCGCAATAATAAAATCTATTTACGATTTGTTTTTCACTGTCTTTTTCTTATCAATTTGTTTATGTGAATGTTTGTTTGGTTTCAAACTGTCTAATGTTCGGTCTATTTTTGCACGATACATTTATGTTTCAAACAAATTAATCCATCAAAAATAGAGCCAGATATATTTATAACACAGGTAAAAAACAGTCTCACCTGGCGTCAATTACATAACGAATAACACCTGTATTGTATAAATATGTATTTACATTTGTAAATCGTGCCCTCCTTGCCAAGGTAGCATCGTTACTTTCATGATTACAAGTTAATTATTATTTATTCTTTAAGTAAGTGGAGAAACATGATAAATTGTTCATTTACTTGTATGCTGATGTTAAATTATTTTTCTAAGATCCTTGAGTAATTATTTAAAACCAATTTTAAAAGACAAACATGAATATATTTCTTCGATATTGTCAATTTTCTAATAGGTTCAGATATCTTTGGTTTTAAGTTCTTTTTAGATTTAATTAAAATTACTAAAAAAAGAACTTATTTTTGTGATTATCGGTAAACTAAGTTATTTTAGTCGTATATAGGACAAATTTCTAATTTTGATTTATCAGATTTGTAAATTTGCATATAAACTTAATGGAGTCTTGTAACATCTTATCAGTGTAAATAATTCACGTATTGATTCAAATTTTAATCACCTATAATTCGAGCCTCTCTAATAGATGTAAGGGTCTCCAGTCCTTTACACTTAGACTGAAAGCACCTGTCCTGATTATTGTATTTATTTACACGGGTAGATAACGACTGTCTCCAGTACCCGACAGATGTTCCCTGGATGGAAACACCCTTTTAAAATTCACTACCCTGAAGTCGTAATGTGAGATGTATATCTTTATCTTATCACCACACCATTATAGTATCTCCTGTTAAGTACTTAAAGCAGTTACCAAAGCGTGACAAAGTCCAACTTAAATCCCTGTTTCTTTAGTTTTCAAGTGGCTAGATTTGTTCCTGCTGTTTCTCTTATCCAATAAGTCAGTATATAAAATCATAGGTGCGATGCCATATCAGTTTTCATATTTAAAATGGACTTGTTTTGATTTTATCAAAAGGCTCTCTTCTGCTTGATGTTATTTGCATTAAGAACATTTCACATGTTTTCAGTTTTATCCTTTGATAATGAAGTACCATCCTGAAGCATTAAATTGTTTCCAACATAAAAAAACAAGCAGGTTTTCATTCACTTAAAATAGTAATTTACAGTTCAGAAGAGTTTTTTAAAGCACCAATCCTTCATAATGATGCTGTTTGACTATTAATTAAAATATCTTCTCCTTTTTTTTACTTCATGAATTGGATTTATCAGAGGGGACTTAGTTCAGACAAATTCATGCTTTGCCATTTTTTTGATTTTTATGATTTCACATCTCTTTGTTGTGTGATTTCATGCAAAGTGAATTTACTGTTAATAAAAGCCTATTCTTTAAAATGCATCGTTCAGGTCTATAATGTGAAACTTAAATTTTTAGTATTCCAGGGGAGTCCATGTTATGTTAAATTGTTGATTTCACTTATTGGTGTTTTCTCTTGCAGAGAATGTCCATTGCATCTTTATCTTAATTGACTTGCATATTGGTCATCATTTTGAAACCAAGGAAGAAAAAATCTTTTTTAGTTTCTGAACGCAAAATGTCAATTAATATTTTTATAAGTGGATGAATATGATGTACAGAATTTTTTGTCTATTCATTATACAATCTGAACAATATCCTGAATTAGAACCAAATGTCAATTTTTGAAGTATCCACTTTTAATAAAAGAGGTTCTTTTCTTTCTATCAGTTCTTAATGCAGTCAGCATGTTTTTATTTGCTCCTCCATTCCATTAAGCATCTGAAAGGAATTATAATTTACTTGAGATTTATTTCCTGTTTTCTGGAAAATGAATTTTAATTTAACATAACTAAAAATGCATAGATATTTTAATGCACAATATCAAAAGTGGCACAATTTCCTTACAACAGTGTAAACTGGCAGTTAAAAGAATTAACTGCTTGAACTGATTAAATCAAGCTGCGATTTTTAATAAGATGTAGGTCAAGTTATATATATATACATCCTCAGGTAATATAATACAATGGTTATATATAAACATGATGTCATTATTGTTTGTATACAAAAAGTTGTTATTTATTTTAACCCAGGGCAGCATGTGGTTTTAAGGTGTAAAAAATAATCATGGTTCTGTCTCATAGGAAATTGTCATAAATCTTAATCATTATAATCACAAATTACATTATCTACATGTACAGTTTTTAAGTCGTGACAGATTTTCTGAACTTATTCTCATGGATATAGGCCACAGTCAGACAAACATGAATGTCAAGTTGGAAACCTCAAGTCTGCATCATTAATTGCTAATTCATAGGTCATAATGGGTGGGTTCTTGTTAGTAACTACAAGTATTTGCTTTTATTCTTGTGATCCAAGGCTAATTGATATATCAATTAAACCCAGGATTTGTATCTTACTGTACAAATCCTTGATTAAATCAATAATTACACCAGTAAATTGAATATCAAAGTTCAGGCCAGAAAATGTGTGAATCCATTCTGTTTTCAAAAGTTAGTTTGTGGGTAAAAGGAGATGTGGGGTACATGCCAATTAAACACCAACAATGCAAAAAAACAAAAAGGCAATTTCATTTTTACCAGAAAGTATCAGAAAGCCATTTAGTTCAGAACAGATACTTCACTTTTAATTAATTCACACATAAAACATCACCGATCATTACATATAATACTACAATTATATGAGTTGGTACTGGCTGGGAACCAGAAAACATGAGACATACATGTATCTGTGGTCAGATCTTTGATTATGATAAATGTGAATCACCATTATTTTTTTATGTGTCAGGCTGAACCCTGTAGATTGATAACCATCTTTATTGTAAAGATTTTTTGTGGTTGACATTCTGCAGGGGTATAAAGATTTTGTAGTAAAATGAATAGACCTGACAGGAACTTGTGGAAGTTTAACTGCAAATTTTAAAAAAAATATATATGTGTCACATAATGCTTAACTAACACATTATTTATGATATTTTAATTTCCCAGTCTTTCTACATCACCTCTATCAGCCTTTGACGTGGCAAGAAATGACATGGTATTGAGGTATGTAGAGCATATTGCTTGCATTTTAAAAACTTCTCCGATGAAAAAGTGGGCAACCAGCCTAATTTCTAGACTTTCATGTAAATGTAAAAATACCAAGAATAATGTGTCCAAACTTCTAACCCCTGGACCAAAATAATCGTTTTTAATTTAGCTTCAAATCCCTGGAACCTCTCTTTGGTTCTGCTAGGACCTTAGATAAGTAGTTTGAATTTAAAGTAATCTTACATATATGTATGTGAAAACATTGATGCTGACTTATAAACAATCCTTAAATCTTAAAATAATGTGTATTTGTAAAGTATGGCTATATATAGTTTTTGCATGCAGAAAGTAATGGAGAAATAGATTTAATCTAATCATACATATCCTATTAGATATCAGGTGTGGGCAGGAAACTGTTGGAAATAAGAGAGGTGTAAATACCCAGAAATATGAATCTTGACTTACATCTTAAAGTACTGGTATTTAGATATATAAAAAATTAAATACACACAAAAAGTAAGTCCACTAAGAACATCCTGATAAATATTTGTGCATGCAGGAAATTGAAAGAATACAGAAAGGTATAAATACTTGACTTGATAATGTTGAACAAACATGCAAGTAAAATTAATGTATATTAAAACTCAATACACAATAAAACACTTGAAAACATCCTGACAGACTTATGTCTAAGCAGGAAGTCGTGAGAATTGGGTACTGATGTTTGTTCTGTATAAAACTGGGAGATATGGAGACAAGAATCCCTTATAAACATCCTGGAAAGCTTAGCAGGAAGTCACATTTTAGACCAGAAACTGGTACAGAAGGAGAAAACATATTTTGATGTATGGGTAAACTGAGGGATCTGATTTCATATAAGAA